TAAGCGTAAGGTGTGTCTGTGTGTTTTAAAGTAAAAATTGTTAATACTCGTAGTCCATAGTGTGCAACTTCACTTACAATTAATTGACTTATAATCAAAACAAATTGTCGGAAAATTGCGTTTCCGCAAAGATACTACGTCACTTGATTATTGTCGTTATTATTATTATTATTATTATTATTATTATTATTACTATTATTGTAGTAATATTGAAGTTATTAAAAAAACAAGATCTCATTGTCAGTTTGAGAAGTACTGCTTTGCGAGACAAGAGACATTGACATTACTCTTTTACATTAACAATACTAGTTTGTATTAACAATATTCTTTTACATTCACAATACCAGGCGCGGATCCACAGAGAGGAAAATTAGGGAAATTCCCCCTCCCCTAAAATGTTTCAGTAACTACTAGTTTTATCTTGTTACGAAACTTTCAAGCAAAAATATTTTAGGAAAATCATTCAAACGAATACGATCGTATCGCAACAAAAGCTGAGTGTAGCCTGAGGCATTTCACAAAAACTGCAATACGACACATTCGACCAAAACATTTTGAATTTCCCCTTCCCAAATTTGTCTCTGGATCTGCTCCTGGCTGGTCATTTGGCGCGTTCTTCCGCTTTGGCGTGTTTTCCGCACTTTTGCAACGATCGATTGATTCCTTTTACAGCGGTCTTTGTATGATCGATATGCCCCAATTGTAATGTTATTTACGTAAAATTTTAGATTGTTTTCTTTTCTTCAGACGACAAAATTTACATAATTTACTGTAAAAACAATACATCAAAACCATTTCATGTATTGTTTTATTCACTGAAAATGACAAAGTTAAACAATATTTGAAATATATAGATAGACATACATGCAATTGCCTCTCGGGTAAAGCTTTGCTTACGCATATGATTTAACAGGGGCGGATACAGAGACAACTTTTGGGAGGGGAAATTAAAAATATTTTTGTCGAGTTGTCATATTACAGATTTTGTGAAATGTCGCAGGCTACACTCGACCCATTCTGCGCATTTTATTCGTTTTAATAATTATAAGAAAATACTTTTCTTGAAAGTTTCGTAACAAGTTTAAGGTGGGGGGGGTCCCTTATTTCACTCCCAGTGGATCTGTGCCTGGATTTAATGTGTCCCTTTACGGAATCGTTTTGCCTTGGTGCCCGTAAATCTGTTATTTTACGACCAAAATAACTTTATCAATTTTATATACAAATTACTTGAATTTTGTACAATAATTGTATTGGTAATTAAGAATAAAATATTTTACTGAGTGCTCTTTTTGTACTATATGTGTTGTTTTCTTCTTCTTTCGGAGAGGATTTGAAGCGAATTTCTGAATAAATATGTTCATTGAATTATTATCACAGACGCCTTTCAATCATAAAGTTTTTTTCCCGACCTCACATTACACTTGATGCAATGCCGTTATCACGCCAGGTGCCCCGGACTAATTGTCTTGTCAATGGCATCCAGGGACTCCGTTGTGAATATGGGAAAGGCGGCGCAGAAGTTTCATGTAAAATTGAGAGGCTTTTGTTAAACACAATTTCAATTTTGAGTTTACTTGGCTGCTGGCTTCGTACTATTATGTTAACACTTATCTTTATTTACACCTCTCGCCCACCGTTAAATAGCTACCTTCTTTTCTTGAGAAAGGAAAAACACCACTTAATTGTAAAGTGATTACGCTGTTTGATTGATTACTGTTTCCTGGCGCGTCAACTGCTAAGGTCATTAGTCCCGTAAGTACAGTGCATTTTTAAACCGGGAACTTCCCCCGTTGGATGGTGAAATTCGGCGGCGACCTATGCGTTGGCTTAAGGAGTTTTCCCAACCAAGTATCTCTGCCGGCAAGGAGAAAGCCCCCGATAGGACTCCCGACATGGGTGGTGGTGAGGTACATGTAAGTAAGGCCCTGGAAATCAAGGGCATGGGGGCCATGCCCCCCCCCCAAGGCCTAGAATTTTCGTTTACCTTCTTTTATTGGGCAAAATTGATTTAAATATTTTTACGTACCGAATTATGTAATTATTTAAACAATAATATTGTATAGTATCATATCTACAGAACATAAATAATATAAAATAACAAATATCTGTATTATTTAACAAGAATATATCTCGGCCCCCTCCAAAATGATCGGCTGAATTCGGGGTGAGGATAAGACAAGGAAGAGGAAAGAAAGATCACGTGCGGTTCGTGGCCCTTTTCTTGAGTAGTGCTCCGGCATTCCCCTGCTATAGATCCGAGAAACCACGTAAAACTAATCATCACAATCAGAGCAGCCGGCCTCAAGAATTCTCTAGTCAGCGGCTGAACTCGGCCTAGCTATGTAGCAAATCCTACCACCTCTCGGTCTCGAACCCTAAGACCTTTCAGCCAGGAGCACTGCAGTGACATCAGTTGCCCTGAGACACCTAAGCCGAGAATTATACTGTCTGTTTTGGATGGGACTAAATGAAGAAGAGCACATGCAATGTGTACCTAGTACCTACCTGCACAAGTACCTACTAGTGTTGACTTCTAAAGTTGTGGATAAAATTATTGAACTAGTTTTTGTAATTATCAACAAAAGCTGTTTAAAAATTCGTACAAAAAAGATCCACCTTTGTTGGAAATTTCATTAAAAATGTTGTAATAGCAATTTGCACTTCTACTTCGAAATAGGTTAGGCCCTTTCGAAACTTAAAAACACACACAAACAGTAAAACAATTTTGCATGTACTACATGGTTTACGGATTTTCCAGAGAACTCATTTTTTTTCCTTCCTAAAGTTATACCCCAACTGGGCAAGTATCGAGGACAAGGAAGCGGGAAAAAAGATTGGGCGCCGTCCGTGTCCTGTTTGTTAGGATAATGCTCCGGCATTTGTCTGTTATTGAACAGCTATGATATAGCTAGAGCCGAAAATCCCCCACTGTCGAGTTTCGAACCCTGGGACCCCCCGAACAATCGCTGCAGAGACAGCGGAAGCTTCCGCAATGCAACTCTTCAACCAAAACAATTATAAAATTATTTTAAATAGTTGTTAACATATCAATGGAAAATACAAGCATACAAAATATTTAGCGTCCATTTATGCGAATCACTTTTCGGGATTCAGCGGTGATTCGTTATTCCATAAAATTTGATTTTAAACAATTAGTTTCATCTTTCTCCTTGATGCGTTTTGTCGATTGTTTACTATTAGTATGAAAAATATTAGGCCAAATATTTTGTTAAAATCATGGTAACGTTTAACTTTCTAACTTAAAAACAACAAACATTAAAAACAGTGAACAAAGTCAGTAAACTCTTTTAATTCATTGTTGTATGCAGAGATGTTAGCTTTTATTTTCTGGCTGAATCTGTTTTTTTCTATTTGTTGCATCTTCGCTACACGTTTCTAAGCCATTCTTGGACACAGAGCACCTGGAGTAATCATCCCTGAACTTTTTATTTTTGTCTGGTCACGTAGTTTTGTCTCGAGCATAGTTAAACAATTCGGCTGACAACGCTGGCAAGAAAGAGCTGTTTCTCAATTTAATTAGTTCTTTCAGTTTATAAATCAATAAATAAATCCTATACTGGGCGCACTTAATTCACAAAGGCCATCGATCAAAGTAATAATTAACACAATCACTACTAGATATGAAATTTCACCGAAAGTCGTAGGATACAGTGACCACGTAGCACGTTCTTTCAATTACAAGAAATGATCCCCCCCCCCCGGCTTTATACCCCTAATCGCTCGTGCAATGCGTTGATCGGCAGCAGAAGACAGCAGTGGCAGATTGCAGTGACAGCGTCTGTAAAGCTTGAGCAATGAACAAAACAGTGAGATATTGAACATTTCATTTATATCATGAGAAAAAAAAGTCGGTTTTTAAAAACATCGATGTTGTTTTGCCGTCCCTACACGTCACTCACTGGGCCAAAAGGAGTGTATACTACGTATCCCTCAGAGGACTATTGACTATGTTTTGTGAGGTCCTTGGTACTTTCTTTGTCCCTTGCCCTCTCATAGGGATCTTGGAAAAAGAAGCAATCAGTCCTGCTGAGGAAACAAAGCTTTCCATCGTAGCCTCAAAACAGACACTTGGTACACACAGTCCAGGCATCTCGAACGTGCAATCTCCATGGTGAGCATAAAGGGAAGATTCTCGCATGCAGCTTCAGTGCCCCACCAGGTGGAGTCCAACCAATATCACCTTTAATTATCATATTACATGGGAGGTGGTATTGGTCCAACCAGCCTGAAAGACGCGGGTAAACATAGGGAATGCACACATTTGAAAAGGAAGAAGTCAAGTTCAATTGTTTTGGGAAAATAAGAAAACCAAAATAAATTCAATAAGAGAAAAATAAATGCGAAACAGGCTAAAGGTGCTCTTCCCCTTCATCTTAGAATAGAAATTCATTTTACGTTATGACAAAACGAAATGACCCAATTTCATATGTCTTTTGCACTCTCGTTGATTTCGACTAATAAGTCGTTTTTTACCTTTTCATGTAATTTTTCCTGCATTTTTTGCCGATTTTATCGATTTTAATATCATTTTAATGGTACTTGTTCCAAACAATATTTACGAGTTGCAACAAATGTCCACCACAGATTTCCTGAGTTGTCTATTCGATTTCTTAGCTATAAATTGTAATGTCAGCCGTTGTGAGCACTTTGTAATCTAAGGTTCCTGTGACACTCATCGGCGCCATTTCGGTCGGCGCCAGTTCGGCCGATTTCGCGATAAAGGCAGAAATTTTCTCTTAAAGAACAGTCCAAATCCAAGCTGGGTTCACTTAAAGAAGACTCGATTACATGAGTATTATATCCAACAGCTTGAGTTCATCTGAAGTGGTTTTGATCAAATTTTTACGTAATTTTTCTTTGGTTTCGGGCATCAAAATCCGCCCCCTAGTGATTATTTTGAACTGGATATTAATTAATGAACTACTAATTATAAATATTTGAATTTTCGCTTACCGTATTGAATCTTTTCTGTTTCTCAGTTCCTGTGAAGGGTTCCATGTTACCTGGTGTCGCCCATGCTCGACTCACTCCTTGTTCATCAAAAAAGACCACATGATAATGTGTCTAGAAAAATTATAAAAAGTAAAACAAAGTTAGATGTACAAGTGGTAGGGTGGTTCAAAATATCAAGATATTTTAGTTCTTATTTTCACAATAAACATTTTGAACTAGTTAACATGATTTAGTTTTCTCACACATAAATCAAAATTCAATAATAATTAGACGTCACCCAAGAACTAATACCAATCATGAATGGTGGATGACCATATGTTATAAGTTGATTAAAAAATGTAATCAAACTCAATTAAAAGACAAAGAGGTAACACAGGATCTTCTCTGTTGTGTCACTAAACATTGTTCAAAACTTCCAACTATATGAAAATGCATGAAGCATTTATTAAGGAAGTTATGATTCTTTTTTCCAGATATCTTGTATGTATATCTTGTATCCATTTGTAAGTAATTAATTTGAATAAAAGTATTTTAAATATATTTGTTCATGCTTCTTTCCACATCTTTTATAATAATGAATGCTTCTTAACTTATTGATGCACTTAAGGAGGCCCCCTGTCTTCTTTTCATCGTTCTAATTCCCTTGTGCTTTGGTTGTGGATAATAATAATTCTTGACACCTTAAAGCTATCATTCTTGTGTAATAGCTTAAGGAGGGTAAATGGAAACTAATAGGGTTTTAAAAATCTAGCTTTTTCTGTAGATAGTTGTACTTTCACTTAAGGGGCCTGAATGGCTCCCTATTTTTCTGTGGGGTTGAAGGTATTTGTATGAGGAAGAATGTGCTGAGTTCAACAATGGACTATGACAATGAAATCCTTCTAAACGTCCACTTTACATCACCATCTCTTTTGAGTTGGCAGATGTTCTCTACAAAATTTAGTTCCATTTCTGCCACAAAAGGAAACACATTCCTAGTGTAATTTCCCGGAATTGGCGACAATCAAAATTTAATCTTCTTTCTCTGAATAGGTGGGATAAGTTGAACTAAGAAGAGCTTGATTAAATGCTGAAAGGAATTATGAATATATATTCATGATGAATGAATATTATCAGTTTCGAAGACATTCGAAGGTGCATGTACTTTGAAGGCAAGCGAAAGTTGGTGTTCTTTCGGAAGGTATAAGTGGAATAAGTGTGCTAAATGTGGCTATAGATATTCTGGTGTTGTGATGGGGAGAATGGGTTTGTATTGAACGGCAGCATATACTCTAGTTGGCCAAAAGGACAAAAATATTTGGCAGCAAATATGATGAAAGATCTGACCCTATCCTTGAGGAACTGAGGATACAATTACTGTGGACAATTTTTTTCACTCAGTTTCACTAATCGCAGAGTGCTTGTTACAAAAAAACTTACATTGCTTAAAACTTTGTGTCAGAATACAAAACTGATTTCAAATGAAATGAAAACCAGTAACAATTTTTTTCTAGTGAATCTGCTTATACTAATAATTGGATTTTGACTTCCATAACAAAAGAAAAGAAAATGAAGTACATGTCTTGGTTCATACATTACAATCAGTAGTTTATTAATTTTGAAAACATGAAACCAGATATGATATTATATAATAAATCAAAGTTAGGAGTAGATATGATTAATCAGATGTTTGATGACTATACATCAAAACATCAATCATGCTGATTGCCAATGCATCTCTTGTACATTATAATAGAAATTGTAGCACTGAATAAACACATTGTTTATAAAAGATGCACTAAAACTACAATAAAAATGTCCGTTGGTGGCAATGAAATTTTCTAAAACAAAAAAGCAGAAAACTTGCAAAAAGAAACAAAATCAAGGATTAAAAATCCCAAAACACATAAAAGAAGTTGAACTGCATAAATGTTTTCAGAATTCACAAATTGTAGCTATAGGACCCAGCAATGGAACTTCCACAAAAAAATGAAAGCTTAGTGATTTTTAAAGTAAATAATAGTATAAATATTAAGCAATATTTTGGTTAATTATTGTTTATGTATAATTTCCAGTTATTTATGACCACACAAAATGAACAGGAAAAGTAAGAGTATTTGTACAAAATGTGTAAGAAATATTTGAGGTATAATATTGTATTGGTTACAATAATATTGTATTAGTTACATTAATTGCAAAATAAACATTACACCATAATGAAAGATGTTTTGTTGTAAACTACTCAAAAATGTAAAATACCAATATCATACAGTCTACTAAAAATTACTTCATTCTTCCCGTCTTGCCTTGTAATTTCAGAAGAAAGCCTTAGGGTCCCCTTAAGTGTTTCAGTGTAATATTCTTCTTGAGTACATTGGAGAGTTAATGGAGCTTCAGTAATAGATGATCATTTTTTTTATATTAAAATTTGCAGTCTGTTAGTGATTTTTGCTCCATTTAAAGAATTATAAAATTCAGACCAAATTCTTTCTAGTACTTGAGTGTAAAATCAATTTAGTCTCAGTACGGTAGCTTAATTTACAATATTTAAAGATTTTGAACTCCAGATCATGATCATGGGATAGTTTCTTTTCCTCTAAGTGAAAGTTTAATTTCTCTTTTCGATCTGTAGAATCTCTTACCGGAATATCCGAAAACCCATTAAGCCAGTAATAAGCTTCCACGTCTGGATCATCATCCACTAGAGCTGGCCACCAAGGGAAACCATCAAGTTTAGCCCAAACCACTGAACCAGCTGTGTACTTATTATTTATGAGGTCAATATGTTCATTCAATCGTGGTCCTCTTTCAGGCTTATCACAACTATTGTATCTTGCATCTGAAATCATTAGAAGTTAACAAATTTCACAAGTAGGCTTAAGAATACACATTAAAAAAATATAATCTCAACTGATGATATTCTAAATATATATTGAATATCACAATTTCTCTGTATTTTTCAATCTGTTTCAATTTGTAATGTACAAGATTAACCAGAAATCTTGTTAGACAAGTGATTTAACCAATAATGAACAATTTTTGATGTGTTTATGTGATCAGACATCACAACAGGAGGCTTGCCAGAGAAATTACGGACCAGAAAGAAGCGTGTATTAAGAACCTATGTATAACACACAAAACTTACTCGTAACACACTTGTTTCTAAGCAGTGTGAGTAATAATACTTAATGTTGTGAATGCTTCTGATAAAAGAACATCTATTGTATTTCAATGAATTGTATCTATTGTATTCTGTGAATTAACGTACTAAGAAGACATGATTTATATACAAAAAAATGTTATCAATGTATCCATAAATTACGTAATGCAAATTTGGAGTATTTTGAGTACTTCCTCTTCCTTCTGTAATGTACCTCTAACATGCTCTTGAACCCCCGTAAGTAATTATGTATCACTTGTGATAACAGTCCCCTCCTCCATTTACAATATGTAAAAGTAATTTATATAACAGTAAAAACAATTTGTATTAATTTTATGCATATTGTATATTAAAAATGTATGATCATTAAAGTAAAATTTAGTTAGGGATGATGACTGCACCAAACTATAGGATTGAGAACAGTATTTGAGTGAAGGATGCATGGGTTTTTTAGAATTTTAGACACGTGATGTACATGCTGTTGTGAAGAACACATGGGCAAGATTCTACTATGCAATTTTAATTGGATTCTAGAATATACTATAAATCATATTTAAATATTTCCTTTGTAATTTAACCGATTCAATTAATATACCATTGATAAAAAAATTCATTTATTCTATCAATTTATACATCCTAACTTTTTAATTAATTTATATTTTTGTAATTCAATTTGTTAATATTTTAATTAATTAGCAAAAAACAGAATTAAATAAATTATTTCAGCAAATGTTGAGGAAACAAATTATCATTACATATCACAAAACTAATACCTGCTACCCCTGTATAACACTGCCACAAACCCCTTGTCTCCCTCTTTAACTTAACATACTTTATGGATGAATTAGCTCTTACATTTGGTGTTATTAGAGGACATGAAGCCAAAGCTACTTCTAGTTCAATTCCCTTCCTCTTTGATTAATCTATAATGAGTTAGCTACTGTTACTGCACTTTTAACTGTTCTATTGTCACTGAATAAAATTTTTGATGCAGTTATTAAAGTACTTGTCTTTATTGTTCTCTGTGCTTGAAAAATTGATTGTCATTGATACTGCTCTGATGGAATTAGGCAGGGAGATTTGTCCCCAGGTTTTCATTTTCTTAAGAACTCGGTTAGTTATAGTGATGCCTCTCTTGGATATAATAGAGTTGTTTTTACTAGCTCCTAGGGTTACTACACATGTGACATGGGGTGAGATGAAGATGGTGATATTTTGATTAAAAAAAAAATCGAATAAAATTTTATTATGATGTTTCTTGCCCAGTTTAATGTTAAAAGACATCCTTTACTTTATTTCCTACTACCTTATGATATAGTTCTATCTTTACCATTATTCATGTGGCAGACCCAGTATTCTGGAATGTCAACTGGATCTTTGACATTTTCTAAATACCTCCACTTGCTGCAATGAATCTTACAACACTGCACCCAAACACCAACATCACGCCTCTTTCTCAACCATTCTAAACGTTGACGCTGATTCAGTTCAGGGGAAGGCTGACTCAGTTGAGTGTATGAATTTTCATTTATTAATACACTCCCATCGCTTGCCTGCATAAATGAACAACATAAGAATTGTAAAATAATAATTGTGGAAACAAACAACAATAGAATGCTTTCCCTTGTAATTGTGCACAGTTGATTCAGTATTTTTTCCCAATAATATTGAGTCCAGTTTAGAATATTGTTAAAATGTTAGGAATTATATCACAATGTGTCTTGCTAGTGAACTGCTAGTGTTCTAGTGAACAACAATACCTGTGACAACTCGAAACTTTGTAAAACATCATTGCTACATATTCTTTCACTCCTAGATGTTCTTTCCATTTCTTCTTCTTCTTCTGGTGAATCAAAACAAATGTCAGACTGACTGGTTAATTTCTTCTTTCGATTAAATTTTGTTTTGTCACTTGTTTCATTTCCTTTAACATTGTTAATCATTGTAGACCTGCATATTTTATCTTCATCAGAAGCATATGTTTTTTCAGTGCTATCAGCTTCTTTATATGTTGTGTTTAGTGTAGATTTTATCTTCTTTGTGTTTAATGAGTGTGGTTTTGAGAGAAGAGATTTACTCTTTGCAATATTTTGCAAAGGATTTCTTGTTATTGGTTTTTTCTTGATTTGTTTCTCTTTGTTTACTGCTCTGTCATGACATTCGTCAACATCATTTAATTCTTTATTTTCGAGAGAGCTATTTGTTTCTGGCATCAGAACGAGTTGGTCTGTGGTCAGTGAAAAATTGTTTCCATGTGAATGTTGCAGTTTTATATTATTGTCAATGTTTGGTGGTACAAATTTTTTACTTGTTTTCAACTGGTTTTTATTTGATAAATTTCCAGAAACATTTCCCTTTATAGGAACACTGAATTTTGGAATTATCTT